TAGTTAATTGGAAATAAGAGTTTAAGCACTTTTTGTCCAGGCTGGCTTTGAACTGGGATCCTCAGATTTCAGCCTTCTTAGGCATGAGCCACCAGTGCCTGTTTTATTTGACCTTTTTTTTAAAGAGTCTGATAAAATATAGTCCCACTAGGGAATTTATATATAATATACATGTCTAAAAACAGAAGTAGATGCTTAAGACCTAACAGTGATGGAAATTATGGGAAAGTAAAGACTTTAACTTGTTTTTTGTCTTTTAAACATTTAAAAAATAATTTATTCCTTCTGGGATTATTTGGCTAACATTAGCAAGCAGAGGCAGGCAGTTCCCTTAGTTTGTTTTTATTCTCATTTTTTGTTAGTCCTTTTACCCAGGCTATACTGTTTATTTTGTGATGAACTATGAAACAAGGCATTCTGTCAGCATTCAGTTTTATACAGATATCTTGCTTAATTTGGGGCATAAAATAGGGAGCAACTCTTTTTTCCAGGAAAAACCTATCATCGTGGTATTCACATTTCTTAACCAAAGGGATAATTATACCTTAGTCTTATCAAATATCTTGTTGATTTTAGGAAATTAAATGAAAATTTGACTAGTCAAAAAATTCTTACCATTTTATCTTCAGTCTATACTTCTCATCTTTAAAACGATCAGCTCTGACTTCCCTCATACACACTTAAAATTGTACTTTTCAATGATTTTAATTCAAGCTTTGAAAGGTTAGACTTTAAATCAGACACTTAAATGATTTCTTTATACTACCCTATGTCGTTAGCATTTTTGATGGAATACTTTTAATTGGTCGATTGGAAGCAGCTGAAGTTGCAGTTCAGAAAAGAATGGAAGCCACTCCAGCCACAAGGGGGAGTAAGAGACTAGTTTTAAAAGTAATGGACACTACAACAAATAAATAGCTTTACTGCTTTTTTCCAGCATCCTCATTTTACTGCTTTTTTCCAGCCTCCTCATTTGAAAAACAAAAGAAAATAACTTGAAATAGTTGTATAGAGGGATTTCACTTCAGTGTGTCAGTTTATGAGTAGTGTCACCCTTTCAAAATTCTCCCCCAGCTCCACCTATCCCCTCAATTTTCCTTTTTTTTGGGGGGGGGGTCCGGTCATGGGGCCTGAACTCTGGGCCTGGGTGCTGTCCCTCAGCTCTTCAGCTCAAGTCTAGGGCTCTACCACTTGAGCTACAGCGCCACTTCTGGCTTTTTTTTTTTTTCCTGAAACCATGGATTTTTCTGCTCAGTCTAGCTTTGAATTACAATCTTCAGATCTCAGCCTCCCCAGGAGGTAGGATTACAGGCATGAGTCACTGGTTCCTGGCACCACCACCTTTTTTAACCACCAGTTGTAGTTGTGTGTACATGTGTGTACATTCATGCTTTGTGTGAAAGTAGGCATGTCTGTTCTAATGTCTCCATTGTTCTTTTTATGGAAATGAACCATGGTAGTTGAATCTAAAATAGAGGAAGAGCTTGTCTTCACATATTTGGTAAGGTCATACAACAAAATTAGCCCAGCTGTATTTTCGATTTTCATTTTGTTTTTGCTGATGTTTTATGTTGTTACTTTCATAGAAATTAAACTTACAGTATAACTGATATACTATCTTAGGAAAAAGTGAGACCTTTTTTCTGCTTTTCATTCTTCTTTACAAATACATCAGTGTTTTTGTGTTCTTAAGTATGAAATTAATACTCAGAATTTTAAAAGCAAGAGTACAAAAGATAAGAGGATAGATGCCAAAGTACACTGTTGATCCCACCATCTCCCTGAATAATCATTATTTTAAGGATTTCTCCTTAAAATTTGCTTTTAGAAAATAATTGCACTTTTTTTTTGGGGGGGTGGCACTCTATGTATGTCTGCTGGTATAGGGCTTGAACTCAGAGCCTGTGCTTCTCACTTGGCTTTTTTTGCTTATGGATAGCAATTACATTATAATGATGAAAGTCAGGAATTTAATAAACTAACTGCTATATAAACTACATCTCTTAAATTTAGTAAATAGAATTTCCTGGGTGGTTCCAGAATTCCATCCAGGATCACAGTTTGCATTTTGTTTACTCTGACGCACATGATGTCCTTTTACTTAGACAGTAACATTAAAACATCCAATATTGCTTGCTGTGGTAACCCACAGCTGTAATTTCAGAATTTAGGAAACTAAAGTTTTAGGACCCCCCCATCTCAAAACAAAACCCTACATTGCAGAAGTTAAGTATAATCTTAAGGATACAGTCCTATAAAATTCTCTGATTCCACTTAAAGAAAAAGTGATCTCAAATTTAAATCAGACCTTAACAAGGATAAAGTGGTAGATTGAAGAGTGTTTACTGCATGTGAGCAGCTTCCTGGAATACCAGAGGAATTTTCAAATTAATGCTTAAAATTAAGCACAAGAAGATTGAGCGTCAGTCTGTGAGATTCTTATGACATTTCTTGGTGGCAATAAATTTTTCTCTCACACTACCTCCCACACTCTTTGTTCTGGATTTCTCTCAGCATTCTCAGAATGCTGACCATTGGAAATTTTCAGTTTTCCAGTGGTCATATGAGCATATTAGGTACTTGCCCCTATACTGTAGTTCCTTCATATATGTGCCTAATACAATATCTAGATATTTGTAACTCTTAATGAGTAGATTAGGTTTGCAGAGAAGTAGGATACTTTTTTCTCTTAGCACAATATTATCTGACATAGTATCAGCCTCAAGTTTTTATCTTATTTTGTCATTATTATATAGAAGTTTGGTAAAGTAATAAACTCTTGATAATGAAGACCGTTTATAGTTTTCAGGTGTTAAGCTAATAATTACACTTTATTCTAAGTGTTGTGAACTGCTTATTTAAATGAAACTTAAAATTATGCTTGTATTGTAGTTCAATCAGATTTTTTTAATTCCTAAAATATACAAAGTATACATATATGAAGCTTGTAAGTAGGTTAAGAATACAACACAACATTCAGTTATTTCACCAAAAACACAGGCTACTGTTGACATTTTGTCCTTGTTAAGTCAATAAAAAGCCTTATTATTACTCCTTGTGGCTTCTAGTTAATAGCTTTAAAAGTTGTTATTTTATGGCTAATGCAGTGTTCATCTTGAGGGAAGTTAGTTAGCTGTTAATACATACAGCTTCCAACAGCCTGTTGAGCATGGGTTTAGGTTAGTCTAGTATGAAAGATGGTGTTTTTGGAATACAGAATTTACGCATGGAAGACAGATTCCTAGCTCTCATAGTACTTATCAACACCTTGCCTAAATAGAGTTTTCTGGTATTTTTACACTCTTGATGGAGGTGGTTACTGGTGATTGATCCAAGGGTCTTGGCTTATGCATACAGGTGCCTTACCGCTGAGCTGTAATCTTAGCTCTGGATGTTTTGAATCACTGTCTTCTTTCAAACTCAATGTCTTTCCGCCTCCACCTCCCAAGTGTTAGGATTACAGATATGTGCCATCATATCTACTATCAAATTTGCTGCCAAATTTTTACATCTTCAAAGATTAATTGACTCTTACATAACTGCATATATGCTAGCCTTCATTTATATATAGGTTGGAGCAGCTGGGCTAACACGTTTGTTCCTTCAACTGCCCTTGCCACCATTTTAATATAGTGGATATAGGTTTTTGTTTTTAAAGCGTTGTCAAACTGTTAGGCATAAAAAAGAGATAAAAATTAAATGAAGTCCATTCAAGGACTGAAACCAAGAATTAGGTACTTTTTTTTCTTGTAAGAATTGATTTGGTGGGGCGGGGGGAAGGGCTCAGCACAGGTTAAAATGGATCTCACCTTTATTCCTAGAGTATATCTAATACCAGAAAGAAGTAGGTATTAAGAGTAGGCTCTGCTTTTTTCTTTTCTTTTTTTTTTTAGTGTGTACCTAATAGGGATACTAGCTCTGCTTCCCCCACCGTAATACAACTATCACATTTTTTGCTTTAAATCAACTGGGAGGTAATTTTTAATATATTGAGATTCAAATAAATTTATGTAGTTACTAAGCCAAACAAGATGACACTTTAATTTTACTTAATGTAATGATCGTTAAATGTTTATTTAGGTAAAAACCCTTTCTGTGAGTTTAATCTTTGCTGTTCATAAACTTTTCACTGCCTTAATTCACTTTGGAAATATTACTTTGATTTGAAATGTTTTGCCTGTCATAGGTATTACTTCACTTATATATTATTTTATTTTATTTTTATTTTTTTGGGTCCGGTCGTGGGGCCTGAACTCTGGGCCTGGGTGCTGTCCCTCAGCTTTTTAGCTCAAGGCTAGCGCTCTACCACTTGAGCCACAGCGCCACCTCCAGCTTTTTTCTTTTTGCTTATGTGGTGCTGAGGAATCAAACCCAGGGCCTCAGGCATGCAAGGCAAGCACTCTACCCCTGAGCCATCTTCCCAGCCCCATTGTATATTATTTGTAAATGAAGTTAATCTTGTTCTCCTTCCTCTGGTGTGAACTCTGTATGCATTATTGGTTTCTACTTCATTCATTGCTCCACAGTCCCAAAAGGCTCACCTCTTAGGTTCTGCTCTTTTTATTCTCATGAGATGATTACATTTAATGGAAAGATTGCCAGCTCATGAGAAAATGTTCTTAAATACAAATCATTATGGCCTGGTGTGGTGGTGCACACCTGTAGTACTAGCTGTTTGGAACCAGAGATCACTAGTTAGAGATTGAAGTTGGAGATTTAACTCAGGCAATAAATGAGCAAGACCCTGTTACAACCAATAAACTGGCTGTGGTGGCACATGCCTTCATATTTTAAATATTGCTGCCCAAAACACTCTGCTAACTTTTAAATCACAGATTATGCCTCTACTACATTTTCACTTATATTATTGGCAATATCTGGGGGTTAGAGTTTTTATAACTAAGGCTATAGTGTGAACTTAAAAAATGTACTTCATTGAGTGGACACCAAAGTATTTTGTTGTATAATTGTCTTACTGTTGTTTTTTTTTCCCTCCTAAGTCTCTTTTGGAAAAGTTCTTGATTCCTAATGCTTCACAAGCAGAGAGCAAAGTCTTCTATTTGAAAATGAAGGGAGACTACTACCGCTACTTGGCTGAAGTTGCTGCTGGTGATGACAAGAAAGGTATCCTGTTTTTGTTTTAACCTTCTTGGTTGAACTTGTATAAAATGTGGTATGGACAGTGAATTGCTTAGAACACTGAATAGCAAGCTATAGAGCTTTTTGCTTTTGAATCTTGAAATTATATACTGCTAGCCAGGCGCTGGTAGCTCATACCTCTAATCCTATGTAGTTAGGAGGCTGAGATCTCAGGATTGTGGTTCAAAGCCAGCCTGGGCAGGAAAGTCTGTGAGACAATTATCTACAATAAACAACTCAGAAGAAGCTGGATGTGGCACTGTGGCTCAAGTGGTAGAGTGCTAGTCTTTATCACAAAGAAGCTCAGGGACAGCACCCAGGCCCTGACTTCCAAGTCCCCGGACCAGCAAAAAGAGAAAAGAAAAAAAGAAATTATATATACTGTTTAACATTGATAACTCTTTTCTGAAAAGCCAGTTTTGTATCCAACATTAATTTCTTCCCAGTTATGTAAAGTAGTCGCCACTGCATAACTGAGGAGTGTAAAATGCTAATTAAAAATGTAAGCAAAGCGATTCCAGGGTTGTTTTATACTGCTTGATATTAACGAGTAGCTGGTTAATAGACACACCTTTTGTTTTGTTTTGTTTTGCTTTGCTTTGTTTTGTGCAGATTGATCAAGGCTAGCACACTACCTCTTGAGCCACAGCTCCCCTTCTGGCGTTTTAGTAGTTTATGATAGAGGTAAGAGTCTCTCAGACTTTCCTGACCCAACCTGACTTTAAACCACTATTCTCAGATCTCAGCCTCCAGAGTAGCTAGGTTTACAGGTGTGAGGCACAGGGCATGGACAAGCCTTTTTTCTATAGTAATTCAGATAAGGTTGTTTGAACTTGTTTGAACTTACAGTTCAGAGGCCACATGAGGTTTGATTTTAGGCATGAAAATGAAACACAAACTTTGTCCCTATGTTCTTTTACTCAGGGATTGTGGATCAGTCACAACAGGCATACCAAGAAGCTTTTGAAATCAGCAAAAAGGAAATGCAACCAACGCATCCTATCAGATTGGGTCTGGCCCTTAACTTCTCGGTGTTCTATTATGAGATTCTGAACTCCCCAGAGAAAGCTTGCTCTCTTGCAAAGACAGTATGTATTTTACTTGTTGCGTGGAAGTTTAGCAATTGTCATTATTATTTGAGCACTGAAGTGTACTTGTTTTAAATCATAGGCTTTTGATGAAGCCATTGCTGAACTTGATACATTAAGTGAAGAGTCGTACAAAGATAGCACGCTAATTATGCAGTTACTGAGAGACAACTTGACAGTAAGTACATAAACTGCATCATTCATGATTGTTTTTACTACAAAGGAATATTTATGGTTCTTTCTAGTATTAAACATATCCTATCTGCAGTTCAAGTTACATGAAGACTACCATATAGAAACTAGATTTGTGCTACAAATGTACACATTTATTGTTAAAACTCTATTGTTGAAATAGGAATTCTCAAGATTTTTTTTGTGATCTATGGTTTTGGACTTTCAATGACACAAGCCATTTAGTTTCTGTTTGAAATATTGAGTGTTTCTTTTAGTCCCAGAAGAGTTGTTTTATATCAAAAGTAAATCAAGGCTATACATGTATCAGTTCTTCTAATTTTTTTTGTCCACTAAGGTTCCTTCCTGTTTTTGTATAAAGTGCTAATAATTTCAGAAATTTTTAAGAGACTCTACAGGATTAGAGTGTTTAAATATTGCACATCTAAGTCAAATTTCAAGAGTCTTAACAGTTTTTAGTTTAAATTGGAATCCACATACAGACCACCTAGTCCTGGCATATATGTCTCCTTGGTCCCTTAGGTTTTCTCATTTTCTTCAGATAAGCACTAAATTTGAAGTTTTGAGGCTTAGGTAAAAAAAAAAAATCCAGCCTCTGCTGTGTGTCAGGTAGAGGTAGAAATTAGAGATGGTAGTCTAGTGTTGCTGGGTTTGTTAGCTTTAGGGCTACTTATCTTGGAGACGTCATCCTTTTGTTTCCAACTTAATTCTAGTCTACTACCTACTAACTAGCCAAAATGACAAGTAAATTCAAAGTTACCTACAAACTTGAGGTTTTTGAAGTAATAAAGAATTTAAAGACTTTTTTTTGTAATGCTGAGGATTTAATCCAAGAACTGAGGCATGCTTAAGCAGATGCTATACTGCTGAATTATATCCCATTCCAAATGAAAGAATCTATATTACATATGAAGCACTTAATTCAATAAACTTATTAAGAATATTTCTGCCAGGCACCAGTGGCTCACTCCCATAATTCCAGCTACTCAGTAGGCTGAGATGTGAAGATCATAATTCAAAGCCAGCCTGGACAGGAAAGTCCAGGCTCTAATCACAAAAAAGCTCGAAGTGTCACTGTGGCCCAAGTGGTAGAACACTAACTTTGAGACAACAGTACCCAGGCCCTGAGTTCAAGTTCCAGTACTGACAAAAAGAAATATTTCTTTCTGGGCCAGAAGGACATGCTTCTAAATCCTACATATAGTCAGGAGGCTGAGTCAGTATGATTACAACTTTGAAGCCCAGTCTAGTCAACATTGTAAGATTCTCCCAACCCCTGACCCCTCCTAAAAAAAAATCCTTATTCTTGTTTAAAGTGGAACCTGAGATATATTATGATTTTTTGAGGGTCTGATCTAATTTATACATCCAGATGAATTTTGATGTTAATATAGCAATGAAGACAGTACATGATTTGGAACTAGGGTTTCCATTCTATGTCTTGGGCTCTATAGTAAGACTGTCTTGAGGGGGAAAATTCCAAAACTTTCCAACATTGACACAATTGAAATAATTTTGGAATCACTGAGCTCCAGTGGCTCATACCTGTAAACCTAACTACTCAGGAAGCTGAGATCTAAGGATCACCATTCAAAACCAGTCCAGGCAGGAAGGTCCTTGAGACTCTTATCTTCAAACTGGAAGTGGTGCCGTGGTTCAAGTGGTAAGAGTTGCTAGCCTTGAGCAAAAAGGAACTTAGACAGCACTCGGGGCCAGAGTTCAAGGCCCAGGACCAGTTAAATAAATAATTTTGTAATTATTTCATAACCCATTGGAAAAGTGAACATTAAAATTAGCAATAGAGAATCCATAATCCCTACATTATGAGACAACTTTTGTTTTCACCTCTCAGAATATTTGGTTATGACCATACTATTTTTCCATCATTCGAGTCATATAACAAATGGTTAAAGTTTGTTTTGCTCAGCTCAGAGAGGTGATGCTGGTTGCTAGTTTCCATACCATGGAGAATTTTCCTTGAATTAAGTCCTTCAGGTTCCATTGTATCTAATTAGTATGTCCATCTGTCATAGGAGCTTTTCTGGACATGTCTTAAAGAATTCTTTTTTTTTTTTTTATTTTTTTTGGGGGGGTCAGGTCGTAGGATCTGAACTCTGGGCCTGGGTGCTGTCCCTCAGCCCTTCAGCTCAAGGCTAGCACTCTACCACTTGAGACACAGTGCCACTTCCGGCTTTTTTTCTTTTTGCTTATGTGTTGCTGAGGAATCAAACCCAGGGCCTCAGGCATGTAAGGCAAGCGCTCTACCACTGAGCCACCTTCCCAGCCCAAAGAATTCTTTTCAATGAAAACACACGGTGACATGCTAAGACCTTGGTATATAAATGAAAATAAGACTTTTTTTCCCCCTTGTTGAATCTGAAACATACACTGAAAAAATATTTCCTTCTTTTACTAGTTGTGGACATCGGATACCCAAGGAGACGAAGCGGAAGCAGGAGAAGGAGGGGAAAATTAACCAGCCTTCCAACTTTTGTCTGCCTCATTCTAAAATTTACACAGTAGACCATTTGTCATCCATGCTGTCCCACAAATAGTTTTTTGTTTACGATTTATGACGTTTATGTTACTTCTATTTGAATTTCTATATTTCCCATGTGGTTTTTATGTTTAATATTAGGGGAGTAGAGCCAGTTAACATTTAGGGAGTTATCTGTTTTCATCTTGAGGTGGCCAATATGGGGATGTGGAATTTTTATACAAGTTATAAATGTTTGGCATATACTTTGGTACATGGTGACTTCACAGTGCTAAAACTGCTTCCATGTAAAGTGAAGACATCTTCCTATATATTGGTTTGTACTGGTGGGGAATAAAAGGGAAAATTGGTTCCAGTCACAGGCGTAGTTATTGTGGGTACTTTAAAGGTTTGGAGCACTTGCAAAGCTGTGGTACAAACATATTCCATGGATATTACATGTTGGAATCATGTATTTCTGTGGAAGAGTCTATCTCCGTGTGCACACCCTTGACTACAGCACCAGAAGTGTTCTTTGAAACAAAAGTTGTGACCCAGTTAACTCCGGATAAGGGCAGAAACGGTTCACATTCCATTATTTGTAAAGTTACCTGCTGTTTGCTCTCATTATTTTTGCTACACATTTTATTTGTATTTAAATGTTTTAGGCAACCTAAGAACAAATGTAAAAGTAAAGATGCAGTAAAAATGAACTGCTTGGTATTCATTATTCATGTATATCAAGCACAGCAGTAAACAAAAAAACCCCATGTATTTAACTTTTTTTTAGATTTTTTTTTTTTTTGCTTTTGTGATTTTTTTTTTTCTTTTTTGATACTTGCCTAACATGCATGTGCTGTAAAAATAGTTAACAGGGAAATAACTTGAGATGATGGCTAGCTTTGTTTAATGTTTTAGGAAATTTTCATGAACAATCCAAGCATAATTGTTAAGAACACATGTATTAAGTTCATGTAAGTGGAATAAAAGTTTTATGAATGGACTTTTCAACTACTTTCTCTACAACTTTTCATGTAAATTAGTCTTTTGGTTTTAAAACTTCTCTAAAACAATTGTACATTATTAGAAATTTGTTCCTTACTCCCTTTTGGCAGCTAATGGGCTTTTAACCAAGTTAAAGTGCAAAGTTTATCATAACAACAAAAATATTAATCTAACAACCGACCGTCTCCCATATTCCCCATTCTCCCCCATCCCATCCTTGGGAGGGGGAAATTGATTGGAAAAGTAAAATGTTCCAGTTAAAATTTTGGTATATGGCATTTTCTAACTTAGGAAGCCACAATGTTCTTGGCCCATCATGACATTGGGGTAGCATTAACTGTAAATTCTGTGCTTCCAAATCACTTGGTTTTTGAGAATTTCTTGATACAGCTTGCCTTTGATTTTGGTCATTCTGTTTGTCACGTGCACAGGCTTACTACCTTCCTTTTTTTAGCTTTCTGTCTTGTCACCAACCATTCCTCCTTGGTGGCCGTGTACTTGGGAAAAGGCCGCATGATCTTTCTGGCTCCACTCAATGTCTAAGATCCCTTGCTTCCTTTGCTTGCATCCCACAAACTATTTCCCTCATCCTCTTCTGCAGCACATCTCTCCTTAGTTGATGAGATTGTGTATATCCTATAAACTCTATCCCGAATGGTCTGTCATTGTTTGCCTTTAAATCTTTCTTCTCTAAATAATGATGGGGCTAAGTTAAACCCAAAGCTCACCCTACAGAATATTCCCTCAGTACTTTACAGAAAACACCAAACAAAAATGCCATTTTAAAAGAGGTGTATTTTTTTTTTCTTTTAGAATGTAAGCTCCTCCAGAGCAGGGACAATGTTTTCTGTATGTTCTATTGTGCCTAGTACACTGTAAATGCTCAATAAATATTGATGATGGGAGGCAGTGAGTCTTGATGATAAGGGTGAAAAACTAAAATTCCAAATACTGTTTCATTGCTTGTTTTATTACAATTTGATTAAATTGAGAAATATCTGCCCTTTGGGACAATTGTCCTAAGTACTACATTAAAATAAAAGTGCAATGGAGGCCTTGGGGGGTCTTTATTTCCAGGAGAAAAAGAAACCTCAAGCATTTAGGACAACATAATACATCTTCATTCACAGATTTTCCATTTCTCCTGGCCCCCAGGCCCAAGGATAGGAAATTTTTGTTCACTTAGTAGACCAAGGATGGGATCTCATCTCATTCAAGTAAATTATAAATCAGAAATTTGTCACATTTGGCCTATTAGGCTCTAGTTACTAGTTTGGTTCTAATATTGTGATAGTTCACTGATAATAGCTATTTAATGTTTTCTGCCAATAGTGACCAGTAAATGAGGATTTCCAACATGAGATTCTTCCCTTTGGAATTTGAATAATAAACTTATTTGTAACTCATTTATCTAGTTGTCCCAAATCAAGGCTTCATGTCTGTCTTGTGAACATAACAGTGCCCATAAATTGGAGAATCCAGTGATGTGAAGAGTATGTTCAGTTATACATTTGTACTTGAGTAAGTGTAGCCCAGTGACTAGGGAAAGAAAGGATGTGACTTACCATCATGCTTGTAAAGATCATAGACTGGGGAAAGGCAGGATGAGAATGTATATCACAATTTAGGGGCCCAATCTTCCCCACAAAGTGGTCACAAGACCCGCCATAATCAAACCTAGTCAAGGCCAACAAAGAAGCTGCCATCTTAGACTGGTCATCCCTAAAGTTGACAGAACTGTGACTGGAAACTGATTAGGATATGTCTAAAATGTCTTCTATTATTGAAAGCAGACTCAAAGAGTTTTGGAACCAGCTGTAGCTGCAGCATTAAATACTACTGGGGGAAAAGTGTGCTTGACCCAAAGTGTGCTATCATCACTGTATGAGCACTCAATGTGTTTAAGACTGACATGTACCTGTAGCAGGTCAAACGGTACTGACAAGTATGTATTACTCCAACTACCCAGTTTTGCAAAGGGTGTCTTAACCACTATTTTGTTGCAGAAATGAATATAAACATGTTGGTAAGACCCGAATACTTGATAATAGTTTGTTCTGTGGCGTTACTGAAAGTCCAAGTTGAAGCATAGAAGGTTTGTCAGTACCAGATTCCAAATTCCAGTCCCAATCAATGCTTAGTTGGTATTAATAATTGCTAATCTAATTGGGTGTTGGCTTGGGTCAGTCCTTTAAGGCACAGCAGAGATTTGTTCAGCTTATATTTGCAGAATAAATGAGATCCAGATGGAAATTACAGAATCTACAAGGGCAAATTTTAGAATTTGGGTGGGACCACATAAAGATGAAGGCTGACAGCAATCAAAATAGGCCTTTTCACATTAAAGCTGGTGTTTGGAAGCAGATGTCATTTAGAATTTGTGTGGCGATGAGAGGGTGGAGAGTCAGTCGCCTGGGACTTGAGAAATTTGCTGTTGTATTTTTTTAGTGTATGTACAAGCCAACTCCAGATGATGTACTTAAAAGCAAAGTTTAGAATGTTCTTAAGATACAGGCTAGTGAACTTGCTGATAGGGCAAGGAAAAAAAGGGACACAGCGCCAATGTTTTTTGTAATTTTGAAAATACAAATTCACAGAAATTAAGGCATCTGAAAGAGTCACGCAGCTGTGGAGACAAAACCTGACAAAAGATCAATGCCACGAATATATAAAACTTCCGTCAAGCAACAAGGGGAGATTGAACATGAGCATGCTCAGTGACTGAAGCCACCCTAGGCTACTCAGCAAATTGGCTACATGACTAGACCCTGTCTTGAAAAGGGGAGATGTCTATCCTGTATGTATGTATGTATGTGTGTGTGTGTGTGTATATATATATATATATAGTATGTATGTATGTATGTATACACACACACAGTTTGAGGTTCAAAAGCTAATCACAAGGCAAGATGGCACATGTCTGTTAACCCAGCATACAGAATGCTGAGGGAGGAAGCAAGATAAGTTTTCCAGTTAACTTAGATGGAGGAGACTATCTCAATAAATATTAAAAATCTGGGTTTCAAAAGAATACAATTTGGGATTATCTGGTGACATTGAATATAGCCCAACACGAATCTTGGATGTATGCATTAGAATATTATAAAACAATATCATAGCTATACTGAATCAGAAAAAAAAATCAAAATAAACCGAACGTTTGTTGAGAATGTGTAGTGTTACATCATCTCCAGTAGTGGAAATAATGACATAAATAACAATGGCTTGTGAAAAAAAAGCCTCAGCTAAACACTGTGTTCCCTGGAAAACTCAAACATGAACTGATACTTAAACTGTCATCAAGAAATGCAAGTACAAAACTTGGAGGACACCGATAGAGAACAAACAAGGGACAGCTGAAGGTATTAGGACAGGTAAGTCTAAATTAACAGTGATGTTTTCAACTTGGAACTGAACTAGGATATCACACAAATGCATGCAAGAATAGAGATGATACAAGGATCATGATTAATTCAGTCTTGAGCATCAAAGGTCACAGAAAAAGAACTAATGAAAACAAAATATGGGGTTAAAAAAATAGTCAAAGCTCACTTGAATGGTAACAGAAAAGAACATTTGCCACCAAGTTTGATTAAATGACAGTAAACTGAACATGCAGTCTACGGAAGCTATGAAATTCATTACATGTTAAAATTGTCTTTTATTTTCAGTTCACTGTGGAAGAGCAGAAAGCCAAGAACTGGAGATTTGCTGAACTGGAAGGATTTATTATCAAATAATGCAGCACTTCCAAAGAAAAAACCAGCCATCTCTGAAAAGGAGGAAAGTCTTTAAAGATCTTTATTAGGACATGATGAGTTTCTATGTATCTGTGTGTGTGTCTGTGTGAAGTTTAAGGACTATATCCTACTAAACTAGAGCTGGAGACTTTTTTTCTGCCAAATGACCATTTGGATATAATTCTAGGGCCATACAAAATTGTCCACTATCTTTGGTCATGCATTCAATTAATTCCTAATGTGGTGGCTGGGAACTGCTTCTCTAGTGATGGTAGCTGGTATTGATGATGAAGTTACTCCAACTGCTTTTCTGAGTTTGTGATGGTGAGTCTGGAGCTCAGTTGACTGCAGTGCTGAGTTTTGAAAAGAACTGTTTGCAGCAGTCTTTCTGAGTACAGATTCATTCTTCAAAGCATGTCTCCTCACAGTTGGAAATTTATCATTGCTTATGTAATTTTTTTATGCCAGTCCTGGAACTTGAACTGAAGGGCTTGGGCACTGTCCCTGAGCTTTTTTCTCTAAACTAACACTCTACCACTTGAACCATGCCTCTAATTCTGGATTTTTGCTGGTTAACAACATAATAATCTCCTGACTTTTCTGTGTGGGCTAGCTTCAAACCAACCTCAGATCTCAGATCTCAGCCTCTTGAGTTGCTAGGTTTACATGTTTGAGCCACCAGTGCCAGGCTGCTTATATAATATTGATAGAATTCAGTGGCTTTGCCGGGTACTGGTGGCTCAAGCCTGTAATCCTAGGTACTCAGGAGACTGAGATATGAGGATCTCAGTTCAAAGCCAAACTGGGCAGGAAAGTCTGTGAGACTCTTATTTTCAATAAACCATCAGAAAACTGGAAGTGGTGCTATGGCTCAGGTGGTAGAGTATTTGCCTTGAGCTGAAGAGCTGAGGGACAGCGCCTAGGCCCAGAGTTCAAGCCCCACAACACAACTGACAAAAACAAATAATAATTCAGTGGCTTTCAGTTCATCATGGCTTTTCAGCAAAATGATTTCTTCTTGTAGGTTATCCAGCACATCAGCTAGTTCCCAATTAAACAATGTAGCAAATACATTCAATTCCATTGTTTAGTTTCCTCCATCTTCAATCTTTGGTTAAACAGCTCAATTTGTTTTAAACATTCACCAGCATGCCTCTGTGGTAGAAGACTTTAGTACTTTCAATGTGGGGAAATGCACTGTATTTTGAGTTGCACTTTCCACAAGTTTAATTTAGCTTCACACTTGAAAGCTGGGAGCTGGGGTTCTGT